TAATACTGCTTGCTGTGCCATTTAGTTTTGACTAGTCCTCTTGGGTGGTTGACACAAAACTAAATTAATTCAACTAGCATCATGTAGCTAAACCAAAATACCGACTTGTCAAGAGATTGTGTTGGCAATATCATAATATTTAATTGTAATTGTTAGTGTGTAGTCATATTTTGCTGCTATCCAGAAACTGTCAACTCTTCATGTGTAACACGGCTGTTGTTGTGTGTGGCTCTCCAATGCTTATGTCGGAAGGTTGTATACCCCTTTGCATCCTCTTGTATAATTGGATTTGGTGAATTAGACGTACCTGGGGTGTTCAAAGGAGTGTAGTCCTTAGTAATATTGTTCCTATGATTGCCTAATTTCGGAGCTGCTTCATGATTTCTCCCCATAGCTCAATTTTTTATTGTTTTTTACATAGCCTGGCATTCTTTAATTCAATGATAAGTAGCCATACAAAATCGGCATTGTATAGGGAGATTCAAGTAGCCAATGGAGACAAATTTTATGATGTTAATAACTAGGTTCTCAACCTAGTCCAAATTGATAGTAACACAAAAGCTTGGTTCAAGGGATTTAACATTCTCCAGCCACACTCAAAACCTTGCCTAGTCATTTTGCACTGTAAGAGACAACTAGAACAAATCCTTCTTAATTCCAAATTGCTTTAGAAATAAAATATGAATTCTAAGCATAAAACTTATATATTCTAAAATTATATATATATATATATATATATATATATATAGTGATAGAATCAAAATGTAATAAGAGTATGTTTCAAATGCCATCTTCAAATATAAATACCCTTGTCTTAGATTTTTGGTCATAAAAATAGCTTTTTTTGCACTTTTTAAGTTTATTCTTACATAGCTTTAAATTATAATCTTATTTTCTATCAAAAAAACATGCTATAATAGTAGTTCTAGGTAACGTAATAACTTCCTCTCGTATAATTTTTTTGTGAATCAAAACTTTTTATGGCTTATTATAAATTAATAATTTTTGAACAACTATAAAATTTTAATGTGATTAAGAATAAAACATAGTGCTCAAAGTAAAATTTTAAATAATAAAAGGTCTTTCACATAATATATAATAATGTACAACAAAAAATTTAAAAAATTAAATTATAAGTCAATCAAATAAGTAAAATCACATGTATTGCTTAAAATTTTAATATTAATTTTTAATTGAATTCTTTAACAAAAATACCTTTAATAGATCATTATTAAGCTAAATTTTTTAAATATAAGAAATATTTATTTAATAGGAGAATATTTATATTATAAAATTGTGTTGATTTTAGAGCAAAGCAAATATACACAAAACTCTTTGTTGCTATAATAACTTCAAAGTTTGCCAAAATTATACTTACACTTATTCAAAAAATTATCAATTTTTATCTATATATTTAAGGCTTTAATTATTAAATAGCCTTCAAATTATTATTTTATCCAAATTAATTGTATTGTTGTGTTATGTAAAAACTAACTTGAAATTGCAATGGGCATGTTGCTATAGAAGATAAGTTGTATTTGTATCAAAAAAAGAACCTCACAATTCTAATAAAATTCTAAAAAAAACTTAATTTAACCTTAATAATTATAATTAAATTTTAATTAAATCTTAAAGAATAATTAAATAATTATAAAAGAATCATTAAATAATTCATAAAAAATATCAACAAAATCCTAAAGAAATCCTAAAGAAATCCTAAAGAATTCATAAATTAATTATACAAAAATCCTTAAAAGAAATCTTGAAGAAATTATTTTAAAATCTTAATGAAGTTATAGAATTTTTTTTAAAAAATAAAAATACATATTTTATTACAGAAGAGCCTAATTAAAACATATAGTAGCAAAATTTGGATAAAAGATAGAAAAGAAATAAAAAAAATATTTAGTATTAATATTACCATTTTATAAAAAAGGACTTCTAATTACTTTGTAAACCCATAAATAAATTTAATCAAAGTAGATTTAAAAAATAAAAATATATAAATCTTTAGAAAAGAATTAATAATATTTTTTTAATAAAAATTACTTTAAGATACTAAGAAATAATATCCAAAGAAGACCAGTTGTGAATTAGGATCAAAATCAAATTCTAAGGTACAAAACCACACACCACAAGTAATTCCAAAATTTATTTATAAGAGAAAACTTAAGATGAATTTTTTTAGAATTAATTTCAAGTAATTTGGATACATATTGAGTTTTTAAGAGCTTGTCAAAGTAAAAGGTATATTCAAAGGTTTTGGAATTTGAAAAATAAAACAAGGCTTACACATTTGAAAAATTTGTATGTATTGTAGCAAATTTGCAAGTAAAATTTTAAGAATTTTTTATTGTAAGTGTCTTTATTATATTTTGAAAATTTTAAATCAATTAAATAGTTAGATTGAAAGATATGGAAGTTTTATTTTATTGGAATCTTAAATATTTGAATTTAAGGATTAATAAAGATTTTTATGATTCTAAAAAATGTGCCAATGCAATTGAAGCAAAAATATGTGAGAGTATGTTGAGATTAGATATCTATATTTTTGAAAATTTTGAAAGCAATTGAGTAATTTAATAAAAAGTAATTGTTGCATAAAGATTAATATTTAGGCTAAAGAAGAAAGACGGCCAACATCCAAGAGCTTTAAAAAATATTTTTTTCAATTGATAAGTTTAATTTGCTTAAAATTTTATATGCTTATTATTTGCTTATGGACTGAAATATGGATAAAATTTTAGTAGAAATTAATAATTTTATTCATAGCTATAAAGATTAAAAAAAAACTATAGAAATTGATTAGGTTTTATAGGATTTATTTGGGATATATTTAAGATTTTATTAATATTTAGTTAAGATTATTTAGAATTTACTTAGATTTTTTATTTTCGATATTTATTTAGGATTTTTTGTTATTTCTTTACAATTTTTATTTTAATATTTTTTAAAGGTTGTTTATTACTTCTCTTCAAGATTAATTTATGAATACTTTACATTTCTTTAGTAATTTCTTTCAAACTTCTTTTGAATTTAGTTAAAGTTTGATTAAAAAATTTAAGGTTTAATTGAAGTTTATTTATAATTCTATAAGACTTGTTAGGACCTTGTTGTTGAAATTTCCTATTTACCTTCCACAACTAGGTGTTTGATGCATTTTCAAGCAAGAATCTACATAATATAGCATCAATCCTCTTTGAATATGAATTTCTAATTTTTTAAGGTAATTTTTTCTAAAACCTATTTTTAACTCCTTAAAGTAATATATATATATATATATATATATATATATATATATATTTTTTTTTAATTTATGATCCTATAAAATAAATAAAAGTTTTTTTTAATAAAGAAGCATTAGTATCACAAACATACATATTTATTCTAATATTTATTTATATGATTAAGTAGAAATAGATAAAAATAAATTTATTTTTTAATATTTTTTAAAAAAACTTCCTAGAAGCTTCATAGATGCTATTTTGACTTTACATGTGTTTTGAGTTGATTGATAGGTTAGAAACTTAATCAACAAGTTAACCACATGTTAATAGCTTTTGAAACAAGCTAACTATGTGGCGCATATATAAAAATCTTCCCTTACAAGATAAAATACGTGTCTTGCAAAGTCAACATGTTTTGAAGGTCTTATAAGACATTACCGCATAGCTCCTAGTTAAGAATATATATGGAGGCAAGAGCCTTTTTCATTCTTGTCAATGCCTTTCTAATCCTTAGTCTTGTTTCAAGACTTTCTACTCTTTTTATCTTTAGCAATAGTCATTTTAGTTTAATACTGTATCATCTTCGAGTAATTTTTTAGTCTTTTTGAGTATCACAAGAGTGCATTGAGGTTTTCTTTCTTCAAGATTCATGTCCTTGATAATTTGACAAGAGTGCTAACTTATTATTCTTGACTTGTTTTTAGAAGTGAGTGGATCATCTCATTTCTATTGTTGTGTTTTAAAAGTTGCAAACTACCCACATTTAAACAAATAATCTTATTTTCTAACACTAATTTTTTCCTTAAATAGAGTGGATTGCCCCTCTTTGTAGAAATTTTTATTTGATATTAGAGATTGGAGATAATATTCTTCTAATTTAATTTTTTGAATTTATTTGAATTGTGGCATGCAATAAATCTTTATGCATTGTAGTATGGAATGCAAATGTAAGGCAATTTGTGGTGACATTAGTAAAAATTGTAATGATATATGATGGATGATAAGTTGTAGTAGCAATAGCAAAAATTATGGTGATATTAGCAACATTCTATATATATATATATATATATATAAACTAGTGGAAACTCATGGTGTTGGCCACAAAAAAGTGGCTAGTACTGTCTTTGTAATAAAAATAAGATTTAGGCATTGGAATCATTAATTTATGTAGAAGCAGTGCTATTTTTTATAGCCTCAATTGGAAGTTTCCGTGCTCCACACCTAGTGATCTTGTAGTGCTACTCTAGGCAATCTTCAACAACAACATGTAGATTTTGATCTCTAATTGATCAAAAGTTAAGTTATTGTTTCACTATTGCTTCACTTTTGATGAAAACAATGAAATATGCAACCAAATAAAAATGGTTTTTGTCCCCTTTGCTTTATCATCCTAAGCTGTTTTACATATGAGACATGAAGAAAACCAATTTATAAACTGATGTAGTTCCTCGTAAATTTACAGTTCTAAGAAAGCAATAAATAACCAAATTCAATTAGTTCCCATAAAATGAACTCAGCTCCTGTGTCCAGATTTAGTCAAGGACCTGTCCTCTCTACACATGACAAGGAAAAGCATTCAGTCGTTAGTTAGTCTTGGACTGTGTCTGTGTGTCTGCCTACGTGGACAGCCTGCGTGGACAAGCAAGAAAGGAAGCTGGGGGAGACCCCAGCCTCTGAATGGGGCGGGACGGGATTGGATTGGATGCCACCTGGACTGGACCGGCCACACAGTATCCCCATCAGCATCATCCTCCGATGAGCCCAGGCTTCGTTGTTTCCTTCCTTCCTTGCTCGAGAGATTTCTCCCTCCCGTTGTCGCCTGTCACCCTCGGCGAGTGCACTTCCAAAGACGCTGCACATTGATGGAATCCTTGTCCTTTTCCTGCTTGTCTTGCTCATCAAGACCGAAATAAAGATAAAAGCAGCAAAGTGGATGATCTCATAGCACAGTACAGAACAGGGAGAAAGAGCGAGGGAGTGGCGCATGTGGAGTGATTTGCACGTTTGTTTTCTTATGCTAAGTTGGGGAGGGGGAGCGTTAGAGCGTTGTATGATTCCGGTATGGTTTGGTCATGAAGCAGAAAGCATGACGCGCAGTAGTGATACATGGGGCCGAAGACGATGATGTGTGAGGTGACCTGCTGTATTTTTGGACCGATTGGAGTTGGCTTTACTCGTAATGGGACATTTGAGAGTTCGGTGTAGAGGTATTTGTCGTTCTGGATGGCTTAGTGTCGATGGTTTTGGGATGAGTTGTATCTCCGGGGGAATACTGATTCGTTATGCTGTCGCCAACAATGTTGTAAGCGTGCTTGTTAGGATTTTGAAATTCCGTACTACCTGTGTGTGGGAAGAGAGCAGTAATCACCGGTATGGAATTTCAACTTTCTATTTGCACCTTTCGTTTATGATTGCGTTACTGGATCACACTCTCCATTCTCCGCTGGTCACCTCCCACTCGATGATTATGTAGAGTTTGTCCATTCTTTGGAAATTTTGAAGTCATTCTGCAATGTGGAGAGGAGCAGAGCAATGAATGGACAAACGTGCTCATCAAGTTACTACAGGCAACGCTCTTATGATGGAAGACTCATCTACATCCCCTAGAAAAGTTCAAACTGGTTCAATTGATGAAGGAAAAGTTTAAACCAAGAACCAACCCTTTTTGGGAAAGAAGACAGAAATGGTTTGGAGTTATCCTCACGTTTGAAGTCAGCATTGAAATGAGGGCCCGGTGAAGAGAACAAGACCTGGCAAGGGTTTGCAACAATATCGACTGGTATATTTTCTCAACTTTACATTCGAACGAGCTTTAACTATGTGTTTAGCGGACTTCGATGTGCTGCACAATATCTGTAATTTGAAACAGAATGCTAGATTCTTACTTGATGATGCGAAAGTAATCCCTCGCTCTTCCGATTGTACAATGGCTTCATGATCCTTAGTTCAATTTCTTACGAGGGGTCTAGTTTTATGAGGATGATGTGTCTAAAATTATTTAAATTTTGTAACCGTTGCATCTCCAATTGCGCTGAGACAAGGAACTATTCGTGAGAAATACTCATGAACTGATAGAGTCGGTGATATATTGGCAGCCATGAATCAGGAGATTTGCAAATTGTGAGTAAGTAGATATGAGAGATAGTATGTGTGGCTTTGAAGGTGTGTCTTGAAAACCAGGCCAGTGAGACGAGAATAGGAGGAACTACTTCATTTTGATTAATTTTCATACGACGACCTTGCGATTGCAGTGGATCCGTGCAGGGAACTAGAAGCTACTTTAGATCCTCCAATCCAATGGAAGGTCGTCATGAACCTCAGGGACATTTGGACGCTAGCATCATGATGTCGTACAATTGGAAGATTCGCTTTGCTGCTGCCTAATTTTCCTGCTAGACAATGAAAGATATCTCAAAGAATCCTCTTTTGAACCAGGTGAGAGTGTGTGGCGTCAACCTGTTCTCCCTGCATTCAATGTACACAACTAAAGGTGTTTGTGCAAAAGCAGGGTTATTGTGACCCGAATAACCTGAGACTATAACAGAAATGTAAGTTCGTGGTCAGTCTGTATGGCAATTAGCAGCGAAAGCCCGCTCCTACTTTCGATGAGGCCCCCAGTCACCCTGTACTCAGAACATATACATATCCCAGTCTTTAATGTGTTCCTGGTGCTTTTCCTTGCAAGTGGAGTTGGGATTCGAAACCTAGTTTCTGGTTGCATCGCGAACAAGGCAGGCATTGAGAGTTTCAGTCTTCTAACACAGGTTTGTCAACTTCGTTGTCAGCATGTAGAACACATAGTATAACCTTTCTAATTTTCACTTGTAGTAGAAACTATCTAGACACAATAAAAGCTTATTGGCTCAGAATGTGAAATATACGTACTCACGTGTAAGCTTTTCTAGTCCATCTCGTAACAGTCTTACAATTCAATGATTCTTTTGTGGGATTGGTACACTACCATTTGACGATAGGAGGTATCAAGCGGTGTGAAATCCAGAATCCAGTTTGACTGGACCGCCTGTGATTGTGCATTGCATCGTGCAATGTTGGCTGTAAGCAAAAAATTTAATGGCTGCTACTAACCATGGTTCTTTTAATGAGAGTGAAATGACCCTATCATGTCTAAGACAGAAGGGAGACTTACCTAGTAAAATTTCAAGCCGTTTTGTGAGGTCCTGCTTTAGCCGGTGTAGACCATGGATGATTAAAAGCATTGCTCAATCAGTATTTTCCAATGTGAGTATTTACAGGATTTGCAATAATTAGACACTACTGTGCTCTAGGGTCGTGCTGTGGCGAAGTCGTCAGCTTCGCTCGCATTCATAATACATCATGGATTGAGAATTGAAATGGTGTCAAGTCTGGTTGGTTTTTCTGACCAAGGGAAGCAGAAATGATTATTTCCAGCGAGGAAGAAGTTGGTCAAACTCGTGAAAGAGAAGCTGACTGATTCTTTGAGAAAAAACGAAGAAATAATGTTGAAAAGTAATTTCAGTAAAAGAAAAAAGCTGAAGGCAAATGCCAATTCTATGTCATTTTTGTCATGGTAAGAACCGAACGACTGAGCATCTGCACTTGGCGTAAGCTGGGGTAACAACTGCTCGCAACAGCTGTTTGTTCACTCAGATCAACATAAAGCCCAGAAGCTCCTCTGATTATATCCAATATGGGCTCACTCAGTGATATGTATACACAGGCAACAGCTTGTTCACATGAAAAAGTTTTGTAGGTAGCACATGAAGATTGAAGGTAACAAGTGGTTCACCTGAAACTCAAAAGTTTTCTTACTTTCTGCAAAACGCATGGTCATTATTTTGGGTTTTCATGCCACAGATAGACCAAGAGAGATTATGGTTACAGTTTTCAAATATCATGAAATCCAGATGAGTGTTTCATGATTCTCAACCAGTATTTTATATGGTATTTAGCTACTAGGAGTTTACATCGATGAACATATTTCTTAAAAGTGAGCAGATGTGTAACATTTAAAGATTTTACATGTCTTTCTGAGCTGTAATGGCACAAGCAATCATTTTTAGTACATTATTGTCAAGAAGACAGGATTGGATGGTATGACTGTTAAATTTATGAAAACAAGAGACAACATTGATTTCCTTCAAGTTCCTGGTTTCAATTTTTTTTATTTTTGCGTTTTTCATTTAGAAATGTATATGAAGAAGAAATCTTTACGTCAAATCACATGTGTTCTACAGCTAACTTGAATTCAATATGCTATTACTTAGGAATCCAAATCAAAAGAAAAGAAAAAAGAAAAAAGAAAAATCGCCTCTAAAGTGATTAGAACACAATTTATCACATGCTTGTTTTAAGTTTTATTTTCTGCAGAATCGGTGGTCTTTATCATGCTGTAAATCCCTTAGCACATGTAGGTTGTGTTATAATATGAGCTTTTGGACAATTTTATGCTTGAAAACATATCCACATAATGAAAGTTGTGAAACACAATGCTTATATATAGTTCATATGGTGGTATGCATAATAAACTCTTTAAGTTTTTGTGTCTACACTTTCAATTTTTGAGAAAACTTTAAACTTCAAAATCATATGATGTCAATAAAGTTGTAAACTGCTTGACACACAGCTTGAAAGTTTTTTGGATAATCATCAACTAACACGAGTCTTTTTCTTTTTCGTTATTTTCTTTACTTGAAAAGTGTAATTTCATTTTAATATTACTATTGTTTGGTAGGATGTGCTTTCTACTGCAGAAAAAATCTCTTCTTTCTGTATGTATCTATGTCTATATATATATATATATATATATAGCGAGAGAGAGAGAGAGAGAGAGAGAGAGGGATTTATGACTTCTTGTTGTATTCTTACTTATTATAAATTTATACAAAAGAAAACAGAAAAAGAAAAAGAAAAAAGCTCTTCTCCTTGGTCACCATGAAGTTCAGCTTTGATATTCTCTGACTGTTTCTAAATGAAACACTATTGTTTCCCCTTCCCTCATCCATCCATCCATCAACTAATCAAAGTATGAGAGACATTCAACTGTTTTGTGGGTGAATAGTCATAACCTTGAAAGACTATCATCACATAAGGCAAGTTGAACATCACACGTCTTCTCTCAATCTATATAAGACAACATATGTATCCATAAATTGTTGCTTCCATGTGCCATTGCCTCTTGGCAGTGATTGGATGGATGGATGGATGGATGGATGGAAGATCTTTCCCACAGTTGTTCAATGGAGCCTGACTCCCCCAGCAACTTAAAACTTTTATATTCTCTTGGCACTCTGTTGGGGGGGGGGGTATCTTTTGAATTTTTAGAACTCTGATCTCAATAACAAAAAGGAAAAATTAACAATGGTAATAATAATAATAATAATAATAATGTTAAGGATACAGAAGAAAGAGGAAGGAAAGATAAAACATGAAGGATTCATCACTGGAAGCTACTGAGAGGATGCCCATTTTTACACCATTGAAATGGGGAATGTGGGCAGAAATGCTTGAGCACCTTTTGGCAAACAGGAGAGCAGTGGGTACCATGTTCAAGGATCAGGTTGATTGGCCACAATGTAGATGAAGGGCATCCATGTGCCATGAAATATGTCAAAAATAAATGTCATACAATCCATGTATTATTGCAAGCAAATTTTGCATGGTTGGATGATTATTGTGGGCATTGTGTGTGTGTGTGTGAGTGTGTATGTCTGAGAGTGTCACTAGGAACCATTGCAATGAGTGACAGTGGCATGTCAATTGCACCCGTGTGGAATCATTTGCCAAACTCCACCCCAGAGTAGTGAAACTTCCTAACAAAAGGAGGAAAAAATGAAAAAAAAAAAACAATGAAATTTTGGTTTTGTGGGACTCATGGATCAGCCCAAAGATATTCATCCATATCATGTACAGAGGCAAACATTTCCACATTCCTTTTAGTGTTTTTTTGTCAAACTCATCCATTTGTGCCATCCAATTGGGATGAGAGTTTCGTTTTGTTTGGTTAGTTTTTCAGATGATTCATGCATCCAAGCCATGTTGTATGTTCAGTCAAACGGAAACATTCAAACAAGGAAAAAAGAGACCAATGACAAACTGCCACCACGAAGACAATGCCAGAAAACATCCCGTGACTATATTGAATATGAGGCCACGACGGGTGAGCGAACCCTCGTCCAAGGCAAGACTGACAGGTCCCCTTGAACAACGCAAACTGAAGTATCCAGAGACAACAAGCACAAAACAAACGAGGACGCGGCGACACCTGATGCGTGGAGGAGGTGGGTAGGGGGTGAAGCAAGCGCCACGAAGGCCTGCGACCAAGAGGAGATTCCTTCCTGCAGCTGCCAAGAGAGGAAGGAGCAGAAGGAGAGGGAGGAGAACTGCCAATCCTGAGGCAGGCAGCAGCCATAAGCCATGATCCATCTCTCCCCCCCCCCCCCCGGGCGTTTGTTTGCTGCTGCCAGGGAGCTTCTGCCGGGCTTCGAATGCGTTGCGATGTCTGACACACTGCCAAGTCAACTTCGTCGACCTCGCGCGTTGTGAACGACGGAAATGCGAGAGCACTGACCTCCCCGCCGTTGGTACAGACGGAAGGGCGTGCAAGCGGGGTGTGGTGGGTGCTGGTGCTCCTGTTACAGTCATCGAGACGCGGCGACCTCCAGACGGAAGTCGCGCACCCGCTCATGGGCCCACTCCCCCACAACCCACTCCCTGCCCACGGGTTTGGGGCCTGCCATCTCCTCTCCTCTGCTCTCCTGCTGGTCTCGTCGAAGCCGTCTGTTGATTGGTTACAACTTCGACGTAATCAGTTAAATAATTGGTTAAACCATTTAAATTATGGATATTCCAATATGTCATATTTTTCTACGATAAGTGAGAATGAGGATATAAGTTGGAGTAAATTACTTTCTAAAAACAAATTACATGTCATTTTTAGCTATTCATTACAATGGGATGCATGCAATCTTTTATGTTCATCAACTTTTAAGCACCAAACTTCATCACAAGTCAATTCAAAGAATGCAACTTCATCATGACTTCAATATTCTTATCTATAAGTTTTTGCATATCTCCTAAAATAAATTTTTTTCTATGAAAAATAAATAAATAAATAAATTAAATTAAAGACCACATAATCATCAAGAGTATCTTCACCGAACTAAATTATGTGTAATGGATAATTATAATAACTTGTATATTTACTCAGATTAACAAAACTAAATATAAATAAATAGAAGTAGGTTAAATTTTTGATATCTTGTTGTAAAGATTTCTAAAATCTTTGTAAATTTTACTTTTGACCACATATTGTACATTTAGACACTTGTATAATAAATTGCCTATTTGGCACACATATTAGAAACTTGCCCTACAAATTACACAAATATCTTGTAATTTGGATTTATGTCATATTGCATGTGAGATATTGTCATATAGCTCTTTATTAGTTACTATTTATATGGAGGCAAAAGTGAAGCATTCATCATTTGTGTCAATGTCTTTTTTATATTCTATCTTAATTCAAGACTTTATAGTCCTTTTATATTTGGCAATAGTCATTCTAGTTTTAATTTTATATCTATCTTTTAGTTGTTTAATTTCTTTCATATAGTGATATAAGATAATATTACCATTTTAAGTTTATTTTTGTAATCAATGTCTTTAAAAATTTAACAAAATTTCTAATTTATTATAGTTGTTTTGTTTTAGAAGTAAGAAGATTACTTCTAACACATTATTGATTATTTTATTTTAAATATTGCAAACTATCTACTTTTAAATTATTTTTTTAATATTAATTCTTTCTTTAAAGAAAACAAATTATTATTTTATTTTAAAAATTTTATTTGATATTAAAAGTTGTGGATTGTCCTCTTCTAATTTGAATTAAGGATTGGTTAAAATCATATGTTATACAAATGGAAGAAAAAAAAATTATAGATGCTACACTTGGTAGATATAAAAATAAATTAATAACTATTATAAATCTTTACAAGCTTTTCAATACTTAAAGCATAATTATTTTATTTGTTAATAATATAAACCATAGAATTGTTATTTTTACACCCATAGAAGAAGTCAATAATAAGATCCAATGTCTATACCAAGAAATTGAATA